ATATAGTATATATAATATGTTATATTGATATTATATATCAATATATATATATTTCAAGCCAACTTGAAAAATTTGGGGATATAGAGGGAGAAGAAAAATCTGCTTTCCTTTCCCTCCTTCAAATTAAATGACAAAGGGGGAAAATTTATCTCAGCTCTTTGTCCCATCTGCTCCCAGCCCCCAGCTGGACATGACCTTCCAAACTGGATTGATGAGGAGAAAAGATTAAAAAAAAAAAAAAGGCAGTGTTTCACACGAAGCTTGCTCAACACCCTCTGTTATTTAAGTGCTTTCTTGGCCAGGCTCTGAGTGGGAGCAGGAATAAGGGAGGGCAGCCTGGCAGGAGCCAGGCAGAGGAAAGGCGGTGTGGTTGGTGCCTGAGCGGTTGGTGGGACGCGCTCACCTCCTACCTGCCTCCTGCTCGGGTGCCTGCATTCATGGTGCCCGTGCACAGTCCACCGTGCTGGTTTTGGTGATGGAATGAGCATTTAGTCCTCCTGGCCCAGCAGCAAAGCTTTTGGCTCACCGAATTTTATCCATCTGCTAAGATCTGGAAGGACAGACCTCCTGGGCGAGGACACTTGGCTTTTGGACCTTGTCTTCTTGCAACCATGGGTGAATCCTCAGTCCGCATTGAGCTTTCATGGGTGAACTGTCTGATTTAGGTACTGTGATTTCTCATCTACATGAGTCCTAGCATGGGAGATGGTGATTTTGGGTAATGCTCTTATGCTCTCCAGAGAAAAAAAAAAGAGAGGGAGAAGCTTGTAAAGCAGTCACAGGGTAGGGAGAGCTGAAGGACTTATGAGAAATTACAAAGGATAGACTTAGAAGAGGGAAGGGGTCACTAGGGCTGTAATGGTGTGAAAACGTACCATTTATCACCACGGAAAATTATAGCAAAGCTGTGCTGATGTTGGGACAGAGTAGGGAGTAGGTCTGGCGTCACTTTGGCAGTGATGCTGTCCATGCCTTGGTGAGAGCAGAAGGCAGGACAGGGTCCTGTTGTCACCGGTGTGATGAGCGAGGCCAGCAGAAAGCTGCAGGTGGGATTTAAATGGAGCCTGAGGAAGAGAGAGAGATTTTCCTTTGCCAGGAAGCCTTGCTCCTGATTTCCCTGTCTTATCGCTTACCCAGTGTGTCTCTTTTTCTCCTATCCCACAGGAGATCTGCAATGATCCACACCTCTTTGTGGATGGGATCAGCTCCCATGACTTACACCAGGGCCAGGTCGGGAACTGCTGGTTCGTGGCTGCCTGCTCCTCCCTGGCATCCCGGGAATCTCTCTGGCAGAAGGTAAGCAGTTCCTCGAGCCAGGGGGAAGCTTGTCTTCAACACCATGGCTTTGCGTTGTGTTTGTCCGGCTCAAAACCTTGCCTCAGGTCCTGAAAAACTGTTCATGTACAAAAACCTCCCTTAAAGGACTATCTTTCAAGGAGAAGTCAGTCATTATGACTGCAGTCACATCACACTCAAGCCAAACCCTTGGCCAGTTTCTCCTTAACCAGGTGAATCAAGTCCCATCACATCCTCCAGATCACAAACCTGACTCTTCTCACTCCAAAATAACCTAAAAAATAACAAGAAGAACAAAATTCAGGATGCTCAGCTGCAGCGTTTGGCCCCGTTTCCCTAGTTCCCATGGTTCCTCTTTGGCTGCTCAGTGCACGCCCACCTTGGCAATGAGACACCTTGCACTGGGACAGGTAGGGTGATTTCGGGGTGTTAGTATCTCTCCCAAGCTGCTGCTTCCCCAGAGCATCCATCCCTGGCACGTTCCGTGGTTGAATTACACCATGTAGCAGACGCTCCTTCAAGTTGGGGTCCAAAGGCACTGTGTTGCAGGCCAGAAAGCCACAAAGGGGCTGCACCAGACCAGGAGAGCAACCACAGGGGCACAAGGAGGGAAGTTGGGCCTCGATGCCACATCCTTGGACAGTCTGTGCCCATCTCTGCCGTGTCCCTCGGCTGTGGAGGAGGTCAAGCCTGTGAAAGCCAAGACGCACATGATCTTCAGTCCCTGGTATGGGTGTGTCTCATTGTAGGACCAGCACGTTGCAAGCACCTTTTCCTAGATTTTACTGCAAAAGGCAGCCACAGAAGTCCTACAATGTGTGCAGATAGCATCACCTGCTTTACACACAGCCTCCTACAGCAACAGACCCACAGGGTCCCTCCACCCGACTCCTTCGCATCGCCTCTGGGTGCTGTGGTACTCCCAGTCTCTGCTGCACGTGGGTTTTACGATCATGATCACTAAGCTCAGCCTTGGGAATTTGTGCTTGTTGCAGCATCCTCATTTTTTTCTAAAATCAAGTCTTTATATGGGAACAGGATAGCTGTTGTGGGCTTCTGGATGAGCAGCCAGGTTTCCTCCCGTCGTGGCCGTGGTGACTGTGGAGGCTCTCGTTACAGGTGTGGTGCAAGGGGTTGTTTAGCTTGTTCCTCTGCGTCAGCATCTCCCGAGGGTGAGCGGGACAGTTGTCTTCCCTCCTCACCATTCACTTCCAGCCCTGCCCTGGGAAATGCCAACTGAACAGAAGCTGGCTCCCTTTGGACACCTCATTATTTCCGTTTGCCAATGGCATTGCTTTTCCTCCCTGGGCAATTTGGCTGTGGGGTGTTTGTGACTTCTCATTTTCCATGCCCTTAATTCTCAGAGGCTCTTCTTTAACTACCTCCTCTTTCTTTCAGGAAGGTTTGTTTTCTGGCAAAAGCAAAAGCTGCAGCCTTCTCCCCAAGCCTTCCCTCCCAGTGACGTTCTGTTTGCTGTGGTGGTCGCTACAGGGCTCTGGTCAGACATGCTGAGCAGAGTCCCTTTTCCCATTCAGGGTATCTCTGAATCTTTTTAAATGCAGTCAAGATGAATAATAAAGGTCTCTTTGGTCTGTCAAGGCCAGCTTGGAATAGGTTATGGTAAGTACCACGTTCAGCAAAACCCCATTTGGCTATAACAGGGTCGCAAGCGTGTGCTGGTCCCAGCGACTGGTATGTTTTTTATTCTTCAGTCAGAGTTTTTAACTCTTCCTCATGTTCTAATTTCCACTCCCAGGGTTTGCCTTTCCATAAAATGGAACATAACGGACAAGCAATGATAGAAAATCCAGGTACATGCTTTCTCCAGCGTCCTAAAGTTCCCATTAACTGTTGTAACTCTTTGCTAGATTGGGGCATTTGTAGCCGTTCGATTTTTCTTAAGGTGTCTGAAGGAATCGCTGCATGGCCCGCTCTCCACCAAGTACCTAAAAACTTTACTTCTCTACTTGGTCTCTGACATTTCTCAGGTGGGATCTCAACGGCTTTATGTAGTGCTTGCCACTGCTGCTGCCGCTTCCCTCACCTTTTCCGGGGAAGTTCCTCCCATTAGAATATCACCTATATATTGGTACAGTTTCGCGTCTCGAGGGAGTGAGACCATCTGTAGAAGTTCAGCAAGTGCAGCACGAGCGATCGTGGGCGGGTGTCTGTATCCCCGTGGGAGTCTGCGCAAGGTGTACTGTATCCCCCTCCAGGTAAAAGCGGATTTCTCTTTATCCTCTTCCTCTAAGGGGACCCTGAAGAACACGTCCTTCACACCTAGCGCTGCCGTCCGTGGCTGTGAAAGTTGCAGTGGTGGGTAGCGCAGCCGCTAGCGGGGCTGTGCTGGCATTCACGCGCCGAGAATCAGTCGCCAGACGCCGTCTCCCATCTCGCTTTCGGACTGGCTGGCTGGGTGGATTGTATGGGGAGCGGGCGCTGGAAATAACGTGCCATTTTTCCAAGTCCGCTATTACGTCAGAAAGGTTTTTTCGTTCCGCAGCGGAAATCGGATACTGCGGTACCTTGGTAATTTTTGAACTGGGCAGTGCGGGGGCTGCGCAGAGTACACGCACCGTGGCCTCCCCATTTCTGTCGTGGTTGGGGTCGGCACTTGTGCCAAAAAACCTCACGCTGCCATCTGGCAAGCGCCAGTTTTGTCCGGTCAAAACATTGAAACCCAAAATATTTCTATTGTGCTTTTTAACTGCAAAGTGAGTGGACGATACGCGCTCCTTGCTGGGGAGCCATAAATTAGCTTTCACGGTTTGGCAAATAACACTCGCTCCGTTTACTCCAGTGATTTTAACACTCTGCCATCCGGGTTGCATACCCAGCTTGTCGGTGTCCTGTTGTGTTAGCATTGAAATTTGTGCTCCCATATCTGTTAGAAATTTCACCAGTTGTTGTCGAGGACCAACTGGAATCAGAATGTATTCTGCCGTAATGATGGGTCTAGTCTTACATTCGGAGGAGTCCGGAAAAGGCAGGGGGTTAACATTTCCCACTTCATGGTCATCAGGATCACCCCAAATATCACCATCCCAATCCTCTGGGGACACTATTAGTTTCCTAATTTGCTTGGGCTTAGGGGGGTGCAGGGCCCACGTAAGCATCATCTCAGTCTTTTCTTCCAACTTTTGTGTTTTCTCCTTTTCTTCCTGTAACTCCTTCTGTGGCTGTTCAATTCGCAGGGACAATAGTAGCTGTCCGCTGCCTTCCTGCCTTCTATTTCCCCTCTCAGATCTTGTCTCCCTATATTATGCTTTATCCTACCCTGACAGGTGGCTTCTAGGCAGGTGCCTAACATTTTACAAATCATTCCTTTCCCTTTTCCATCTTTTCTATGCCCCGCCTGGCCGCCTTTAGCTGTTCTTCCACAGCTTCCCAATCATGGCAATTATCACAAGGCCATTCTTCTGACAATTTGGGACTCAGACTTATGGCATGCTTTTGTAAGTAATCAGTGATACTACTTGCCATCCTGCCAACTATGCCGGTTGGTCGTGGATCTGATGTAGGATCCTGTCAACTACGCCAGTTTGTCATGAACAGGTGACTCACATCGCTTAAAGAACCACTGTCAAAGCTGTTAGCAAAAGTGGGTTTAATATGATGTTGTAGAAGTGTGACTTAACAAAGTTCAATGGCAAGAGTCACCCTATTTCTGTACAGCACAATCATTTGAAAAACGATTCAAAGTTACCGAGACACAAATCAAAGCTACCAAGACCAAATCAAAGGTACCATACTATAAGGTTATGCACGATTGGTGGCTTACCAGTGATCTGCCGTTGATGAAAGGTCTCTCTGCCTTGAGGAGCAACCTTGAGGGCATCCCAGCTTGAGAAGAGATCACCTGCAGCCACGCTGCCTAGCAGGGAGAGCTCAAAGAAGGCTCACCTAGGCTGTCATATTTATGGAATAAAGCCGCTGGCTCGTAGTCAGATTACATGTGATGGGGAAGGTATGCATGAGACTCCTTGCACCCACAACTTACTTTGTTCCTTGAGAAATGAGTCTTGGAAAAGCCACCCACTATTCCTGTGTTGATCGCATGATGGGTGTTCTGAGCTCATATCTGTCGGCGCTCACTGTGTCACTCTGCTCCTTTGTGGGTTTTCGGAGAACAGACTGGAACTAGAGGAGTTCTTGGCCTGGCTACAGGTCAGGCCTTTACCTCTTTTGGAGCCTGTACCAAACTCCCGCTGGTTTGGTTAAGGGGTCGAGTGCATCCGTCGCCGTGGGGGAATGACTTCAAGGCAATAGGACAGGCCAGCGCATCCCCATGTATCCCAAGAGATGGTTTTGTTCACACACTTTCCTCCACCTCACTCCAAGGCTCCCTCCATGTCCCTACTTCCCTAAGCCTGTGTTGTTTGAGCCGCTGAGTGGGAATGGGATACTGGAATTTAATTTAGAGCTCTTTTCGACATTCCTGAGTCTTGTCTGACCCTACATGGCTTTAGGTGTGATCTGGCTCTCTAAAATCCTTTATGTGGCCCTTCAGAGGTGTCTAGTTCTTATGAGAAGAAATGAAGGCCTTGAGATGGGGGGATTTAAATAATTTCCAGCAGGACTTTGTCCTAAAGGGTTGTCTGGATCTGTACCTGCACTCCCACAGCTTCCATTGGTATTGCTCAACAAACTAGGGCCAGGGTCTGACGCCACGTGCTTCAGACAACCCTGTATCTCCACCACCTAGCCTGGTCTCCTTCTGCCTCGGCTGCTTCCAAAGCGCAGGGCAGTCTTGGATGGGATGGCATGAGCAGATGGCTCTGAGGGCACTGACCTCCCAAAGTCCATTTTGCATAGGTCTTCTACAACCTGTAGTTTGTTGTTGCTCTCTGAGGAGACCTTGAAGGCTGGTCTTGTACCTCAGCAGGGCAGGGAAGGAACAGACCGGACCCCCACTGCAGTCCATTCATCATCAGATGCAAGGTCATTGCTCCTTCTACTGCCACCGCATATGGGGCTAAAAGAAACAAGGCAGTCCAAGC